TACACATTACAACCTCGTTCAGCAAAATTCCTGAGCGGATCGTCACCCATAACCCATCCGTTGTGAGCCATCAAGAACTGTGAACTATTGTCATCGAACGCCAATTCTTGTTCGGCAATCAGATCCAGATCCGGCCCTTTGTGTGTGAAATATTGCCAAACGAGTGGATGTTTAAGGGAAACCTCTTTCTGTTTGGGCCCCCACTCGTCGATTCGCTCATATCTCACTGATTTGATCACATTCTCAATGGCAGCCGACAAGTGATGGTTTATCTCGTTTTTTATATTCTCGTTAAGAATTGTTAGCTTATGTCTAATGTGTTCGGCCGACGAATCAACCCATTGATCAGTATTGCCGTCAAAATCAATTTCATTGCTCACTATTTTCAACGCGATATTCAAATCAATTGTCGATTTAAATCGTCTGTATTTTGAGTCCGCAATGATCTCTAGATTCGGTGAATTTTCATTCAATTTGCGTGGATTTGATTCCAAACAATATTTCTTAAGAAACTCTTTAAATTGCTTCACAATAGCGTTGACGTCAACCAAATAGAGTTCCGCAATATTTAACTATAATTAACAAATTATTGTTAGATTAGGGCAACAAAAAAGTTCACTCATTATTGATTACAATTGGTAAATATTCTTCGTGAAGAACACTTCGAATGGCATTCAAGTGATCCTCTGTGTTGACAGCAGTGGTCAGACCTCTTGATGTCCACCGATCGGCGATGATATCGCACGTCAAATGATGAAGAATTCTGTCCAACAAATAGGCCGATCGCAGCCACGGACTGTTGAGACAGTTGTAGGCGCACTCGGGATGCGTCTGAAGCCACGGCGACTCATTGGCCGTATGGTTGAGAACAATGTCAGTCAACGACAATATTTGCCACTCTTTTCGCATCCATTCGATGAGTTGGGAGATGTCTTCAAACGTGCACTCCTTGTCCGGCGCACTAAATATGGGATTCACTTTCAACTGATCCGATAGACAGTACGACGAGTTGGATGAGCCGAGTTCTTGGATTGGAGTGAAATGAATCAAATTATATCCAGTTTTCTGAGCGACCTATCGATTCAAACACAAGTTTGTAAACAATTAATAATTTTAAAAGTAAATTATAAGAATCAAAACAGACCTCGAGTTTTCCTTTCCATGTCTCAAATGTGGCCAAACTTTTGGCTAACACTGTCTGACACTGAATGGCATTCAAATCCAATAGGGATTCGGTGGCATCGGATCCCACTCTAAGCTGAGGATTGACTACAATATAAAACTGTCCGCAAACAGAATCGGCGGACAACTCCTTGTAGTAGAAGTGAAAGGAACCGCTCGTCTCGAAAGTGATTGTCGACACCTGACCGGTGAAGACGAGTTCGTGGTATTTGTATCAACAATATAAAACTGTCCGCAAACAGAATCGGCGGACAACTCCTTGTAGTAGAAGTGAAAGGAACCGCTCGTCTCGAAAGTGATTGTCGACACCTGACCGGTGAAGACGAGTTCGTGGTATTTGTATCGATCAAAGTGGACACTCTTTTGGCAATAATTGGTGAAGAGAGCGACGCGTCGGCCAAAGAGAGAGGAGCCGTACGCGAACTGAACGCTATCCTTATTATTACATCTGTAGAGTACGGACTGGCGGTCAGAATCGGCCTCCAGATTGAGGACGTAAACCAATTTACGATTACTCGATGACATGTTTTTACTGGTAATGGCCTTTCGTTTAAGCTATCATAACTGCAACTAAAAAGATGGGCACAAAAATTGCAATCAATTTCTAATTCAATGTCAATTTGAATGTCAGGCAAAACTTTTTTTTCTCTCTTCAATCAAACATAAATATTTATACACACTTTTGGAGGTTTTCTTTTGGCAGACACTATACGCATGACAACTGATGAAGTGTTGGAGGATTCCGCTTGTGATCCACACATGGCATCCAATTATCGGATCCCAATATCACATCATTTGGTGTATTTGTTTCAATGTTTTATCACTGCAATAGTTGTTTGGGTTTAGAGACCGATTGCTGGATACTAATGGAAAACTTTACAAGAAGTTCAATGTTATTGAAAACAAACTCCAATCGCCTCTAACTCTGCCAACACTTACCTATTTATTTAATGATCAAAAGTTTGCGATTACTTTAAACGCAAACATTTAAACTCTTGAGACATGAAAAAGTTAGTGAACAAAATTGATTACTCGATTTAAAAATTGTTTATTTTTCTTTCAAGTTATTATTCCAATAAATTTATTATTTAATATTTTGATTAAATATATATATTTAATGCTGACCTCCAAAAGAGAGAATACTTTCGATATAGAGTATGTGATAATTAAGTATAATTTATAAGTCAATCAAAATTGTGAGACAATTAATTCACAATTTATATCATTTGATCCAATTGTACAGTTATTATGACATAATATAGTATGTTATAAACTAGACATTACTTTTCGTAATCAATGATTACTAATCACATAAAAATCAAATCAAATAAAACATTAATTTAAGTAAAATATATGAGGAAATCGTTGCAATATTTATAAAATACAAGCAATGATACCCACGAGGACAGCGGCTCATCACTCGGTGTACACCCGCTGTCGTTTGCATTGAGCAAATCAGTCGATTCTATGTCACAAAGAAAAGTTTGTTCCCATTTTTATTACATTTTTTGCTTTTATTTTCATTATTTGCAGTCATTTTGTTTTCATTTTTAATTTCATGCAAATAACCATTGATTTAAAAGCTGAGCGTTTCGTTTGTTTTTAATTCCTATTGCAATTGATTGTATAATTGAATCATTTAGTGCTCTAATTGTTGTGCCGCTCGTAGTGTTGGGACAGAGTTTCTCGCACTTCAACCCAATTATCAATATATTTGCCGTAAGTTTTTGGTTTAAATTGCAGGTTATATTTGCAAATCAATGTTTGGCACCGCTTTTTGCACAATGTTTGGCACGCTTTCGGTTTTGTTTGGTTTTTGCATTGTTTTTGATTTTGTTGTTGTCTTAAGTTTTGTTATTTTGGCACATATTTTAGAGCACTGTTTGCCGTTCACACAAACGACTGCTTTCAGTCAATGCTTAGCACACGTTATGCCTTACATTTGAATAATAGTTATCTAATTGTACTTTGAATGTCATTATTAGGTGAGATTAGTGAAAGGCACGCGAGTAGTGGTCTCCCGATCGCAAACGTGTACATCAGACCATTCAAAGCAGTGGACACCGCACTCGCATACGAGCAAAACCGCGGCACTGGAGCTGCACTGGCAATCAGTGGCGTGCGGGCGAACCCAACACCAGATCGAGTTGACAGAACAGGCGCGCATTTGGGTCATGTCATCCAATGCCAACCCCGACACCGACTCCTCCCTCACCCCCACCACCAGCACAGCCACACGCAGGCGACAGCTCCACCACAACCCCGTCCACAGCCACAGCTCATTCCCGTCCATTGGGAGCCATTAGAAGGCATTTATCACTATAGTTACAACTGATGGCCAAATCTAATTGGTTTCATCACTAATATCTATAGTATTATCATTTTGTAATGTATTTTAAGTATTTGTTTGTTTTTTAACTTTATTCGCAAAATATTTTTGTTTTTAGTTTTATTTTTAATGAATATTTAATATGAATAATATGTTCACAAATAAGAGTGTGATTCCCATTGGATTACAACATTATTTCTGTAGTAATAGTTTGCAAAATGTTTAAAAATTTATAATTAATATATTTTTAAAATATAACTTATGATTGCATTTATATTAGTCTCACATTTAATATATTATTTCCCGGTTTAATGAAACGATTTTAATCGCACATTTGGTTTGCATTTTTAAGTTATTCTTATAATACAATCATTCAATTGGTTTTATTGATATTAAAACACAAATTAATCGAAACGACAGTATTTTATAAATATTGCAACGATTTCCTCATATATTTTACTTAAATTAATGTTTTATTTGATTTGATTTTTATGTGATTAGTAATCATTGATTACGAAAAGTAATGTCTAGTTTATAACATACTATGTTATGTCATAATAACTGTACAATTGGATCAAATGATATAAATTGTGAATTAATTGTCTCACAATTTTGATTGACTTATAAATTATACTTAATTATCACATACTCTATATCTAAAGTATTCTCTCT